TCCCACGGAAACGACTTTAGGCGTCTTGTTAACATAAAAGACCGACTCCCGTGTTTATTCAGCGATTTTTCAAAATACAAAACTATTGTTTTGCGTCGCCGACCGTACTTCACGGCTGTCAGAGCAAAAGTAACAATTTTTTTTGAAAAACTAACTAAGGAACCATCCTAATTTGAAGAAAAATTTCAATGTTATCTTATGAAAAGCTGTTACTATCGAAAACTGTGCAGCTTGTTACGTTCATAGTCAAGGATTATGTTCCATGTGGATTCACGTGAAACGACCTTTGAACATCAACGCGTGCCCGCTGCCCGATTTAACAACATTTTCCTAAAGCTTTTTGATAGACATGCTACTTATTGCTACTTACAAGTCGACCTCAAGAGTTTCTTATCGAGCGGAGCGTTCTTTTTAGGCCGCGAAGCCACCGAGAGAGCTACGATTTCGCAAGTAATAAATTCTAGACATTCTTAGTTTTTTTACTGTAACTCAACAGAAACAAGAAACCAAGACCAGCAAGTCCCCCAGGTGGGCCACCTAGACAATACTTTCAGTCGCCCGAGGCCAAGTCTTGCGCCGTTAGATCCATCCTCGGAGACCCAGGGGCAGATAAAGGGGGCGAGAGAAAGTCTAAACGGGCGGAAAAATATATATGGAACGAAGAAAAGTAAAGAACGGCGAGAAGAGCCCCTGGGGACAATGTCTTACCAGACCAGTTCCAAACGGTCGCCGCCGTTCTGGCTTCTGATTGGTGCCAGAAAAACACAAGTTTTCTGGCACCAATCAGAAGCCAGAACGGCGGCGACCGTTTGGAACTGGTCTGGTAAGACATTGTCCCCAGGGGCTCTTCTCGCCGTTCTTTACTTTTCTTCGCGCCACATTTTCCGGCCCGTTTAGACTTTTCCTCGTCCCCACTATCTGCCCCTGGGTCTCCGAGGATGCGTTAGATCTAGAGTACAGCCTTGAGTCTTCGTCCTCCTCTACGTTGTCATCTTACTTTTCCCTTCTTTGCTGACGCAGTATCCTTTTTCTGCTTGTGCAATCCAACCTGACTTCCACGTGATTCGAAGTTGCAGCCAATAAAAATCACACAATTTTTTCGGGACGGGCTCGGGATACGGGAAAGTTAAAAAAACAAGGCAATTTTTGACTCCCAAGACGACGAAAGGATTTAAGACGCTGGCTGACTATGTCATCCCGCGTAAATATGATGACTAACTACCACAGATTAGTAAGGTTCCAGCCATGAACAGCTTTTGTTTGTATCTTAAAATTAGCGTGCTTTCATTCATGAATACAACCGAACATATATTGGGGAAGGCTACCTTACCCTACCCCTCCTGGGGCTTCATGTTCCATGAACTGCATTTATTTTTCGACTTTTCTGTACGACGCTCCCAAAAACAGGACTCTGCGTATTCTTTCTCTCTCTTACTGTACAAAAAAGGTCTATTTCCCTATCTAATCAATTAAATCAGTATTTTCCTCCTAGTAGAGTCCATTTTTCAAGGTATTTTTTGGTAGAGAAAATCAGTATTACCTATTTGATTATCCTGCGGTGGTCCACAAGTGCAATGGCGAAACAAAATAAATTTACAGCAAAATGAAACGTCACGGTAAAATATAATCAGCTCACGGTATGTATATGTACATACAGTCGACTCCCGATAACTCGAACCTTCAAGGGAAATCGTAAAAAGGTTCGAGTTATCGGGAGTTCGAAGAAAATAGCCGAGAGTAAGGTAAAAAACAGTTTTTACTGCACAGTGAACATTTTAATCACATTTAATTGTAGAAATGTCAAGTGAAAATTAAAAAGATACTTCTAGATTTTTAATCAGAACGTAACGTAACAAAACATAGCCTAAATAGAGAATGCGTTCTACTGTTTTGAGAAGAAAAGCTGCTTCACGTTAGCCTGTGACAATCAACATTAGCCTCCACTAGTAAACTATACTCTTACAATTAACACGTCAATAGGAAATGCAAAATTCAATGTTTCGGACGCCAGTAGACGGCTTTTTTCCGACTTTTTAAGGGCTCAAAACATGGTTCGAGTTATCGAGGGTAAAATTACATAGAAAATAACCTGAGGGGAAACGAAAATTGGTTCGATTTAGCGGGAGTTCGAGTTATCGAGGGTAAAATTACAGTGAATGTATGACGGAAATCCGTGGAAAATCGATTTTGGTTCGAGTTAGCGCGAGGTCCGAGTTAGCGAGGTTTCGAGTTACCGGGAGTCGACTGTATGTTCAGTTCAAGTTTTAACGCTCAGCCACAAACCTGGATTAATCAAGAGTGTTAACAATAATCAACACTAAATCAATACCTGAGAAACAATATTTTTAAGATCCCTGATCGGAGGGTGTTCAATTTTCACACAGTGCTAATTGAAAACATAAATACAGTGTTTGTTGTTATCCGTAACAAACATATGTCCAGTATCAGACACAGCACAACCAAAAGGATGACTATTGTGCACAAACAAACTCCCTGCAGCTACCTTGGCAAAATATTTTCCGTCGAGTGTGAACAGTTGCAGTCTTCTGTTCCCCGCATCGCAAACGATCAAACGGTCAAACTTGTCAATAGCGAGACCAGTGGGACCCGAGAACTGCCCATCACCAGTTCCCTCGGTGCCAATGTCATATAGATACTCCCCTGCGATGTTAAATACCATGACACGGTTAGCTTCTGGATAAGAGACAAAAAATTTGTCCTGCTGATAAACAACAAACCATGGCTCCGCATCACAACCAGGAGCACTGAATGACTGAAGAATGTCTTTCCCATCAGGGCTGAGAACTTTGATTGTTTTGTCATCATAGTCACATGTGATTATGCGACCATCACTCCCAACAGATATGTACCATGGTGTCTTCACATGTTCGTCGCTGATGTATCGAATAAATTGACCACCCTCAGTGTACAAGTACAAGGTGATTTTATTGTCGTCATTATCGACACTGCTAAGGAGGTCACCAGACTCGGTAAAAGCCACCGAAGACGTTCCAGCTTCCAATGCTATCTCTCTGAGAAAATTCCCATCAAAACCAAACATTTGAACTCTCTCGTTGTTGAAATCAGCAACAGCAAGTGTCCTTGTTTTATCATTCACAGCAATATCCCAAGGACACTTAAACTGTCCTTGCTCTTTCCCTTCTGATCCAAACTGAAACGCAAATTGATACTGATGCGGAATCACCTGCACAACCCATGGACTACCAGTCAGTGGCTGTCCATTAACTTGGATCTCTACTCTATGTTGTCCAACACACTGTGGTGTGTATGTTGCTGTGTACTTGCCGTCTTTGCTGTCTTTTATTTCTGTTTCCAGTTGATCACCTGCTGGAGTTATAATGTTGACTTTTACTTGATCATCTTCATGATAACACTGCTTTCCACCTGAATCTCTAGTTACAATGATGAAATTTGCCACCGTTTTTTCTCTTACAAGTTCTTGATTGTCCACTTCCGCTAAAGATAGGAAAGGATCTGTATTACTGACCACAATTCGATCAAAACCCGGATTCAGTTGATTCTCGATTATATAATGTACGTGTGGTGGTTTATAAATGTCAGGTTTTGTTACATTCAAAAGTTCTTCACAGCGTCCAACAATGATCTGATTTGTTTGAAGAATCTCGGCACTGACGTTTCTTTCTAGTGTGTTTTCACCTCGCTCAATGCAGCTTTGCAGTTGAGTCAAAACCAGTTCAAAGTTTTCTAGTTGTGTCGCGTGATGTTTTTGTTGCACCTTATAAATTTCAGCAAATTTGGCTTTCATGACCCTTTCATGTTCTCGTAATTCACGGATACGTTCCTCCACGGCATCTGTCATCTTCTTTTCCGCTGACAAAATCTCATTTTTAGTTTTGTCAATCAGCTCGGTTTGTTTCCTTATTTCGTTCTCGTAAATTACAGTTTCCGCTTTCACTTTCTCCAAAGCGTCCTTCATTTGCATCTTTTGTACTTGTGCGGCTTTCTGAGTGTCTGTTATGGTGTGTCGATTATGGCCCCCTACACTACATTTGTGACAAACAAGAACTTTGCACTCTTCGCCATAAAATTCCAGCGGTTGATTTTCGTGATATTGCTGTGAACACATGGCAGGTCTGTGGATCAGCTCTCGAACATCTTGCACATTTAATTTCTCTATCACAACATTGCGATGACCTCTTGTGCTCTTCAGGCGCTGATGAGCTTCAAAGCAGGAAGTACAGAGGAATATTTGGCAGACAAAACAGTAAGAGGAAGCGGTATTGTTCTCATCACAACTGCTGCATTTCTGGGCCTGTACGCCGCCATATTTTAGAGCGAGAACATCCACCAGTCGGTTGAGATGATAAGATGCAGGCAAATTCTTGAACGAGTCTCCTTCAGGAATTTGGAAAGATGTCTGGCAAACCGGACATTTGATTGTCGCTTGTAGCCGTCTTCTTGCAAAATTTGCGTGTTTGTCAAGACACTCAAGACAGAAAGAGTGAATACATGGCAAAGTCTTGGGATTATTGACTGTCTCCAAACACAGTGGGCATTCAGCTTCCTTCTTAAGAACTGTAAAGAGCTGTTGAATATCCATGGTGAATCTAGAGCTGCAAGCGATGGCTCCGTGAGATCATGATTATGGGTGCGGTTTGCTAAGCTGTGTAACAAAATAGGACTCAATGTTTTTTATTGTAATTGAAAAGCTGACATGAAGCGAAAGCGAAACACAATGAACAAAAAAAAAATAAGGATATGAAGTCAATTGGTAAACTGAAGAGTAAAAAGAAAAAAAACAGAACTGCTGAATTTAGGACTTGCAGTCAGTCGATGACACAGGCTTCCCAACCTCGAGTTCACATCAGTAACTGATGAAATGTTTATACGAAAAAAAAAACGGTAATGAATTATAAGGCGTTTATGGCAATTATTCGATAGAGCCGGCGAATCAAACACGGTTCCCGTGTGAAAGAAGCGCGAAAGTTGGGGAGACAGTAGCTCTACCACCATCTTAAAAGCAACCGCCCCCAGCTTTCTTCACTTTGGTTCATATGTGCAGAAAAAGTGACCTCGCCAGGAGCCCATAACCACGGAGTTAGCTAATTTCAAGCGACTGCTCGCGTCATGTCGTTTTCACAGATCAGTTTATTTTTTGGATTTATTTTCTGGCACGATCTTAGAAAATCGTCAACGTCCAAAAATCAGTTAGTAAAACTTACAGAACTTAAAATTTTGCCGTGTTAATGACGTTTAGCGGTCTCTCCCTTTCATATGCGTCAAGACTACGTGACCAAGAAACGACGGGCCCTGGGGACGAAGATGCTAGCTGCCGGCCTGTTCAGTGTAGCGGGCTTCTGACGTCTGCGTGCATGCTACCTTTTTTCTCTACCCTCGCCCTAACCGTGCTTGCCCTGGTCCAGGGAAACTCTTGCCACGCAGCCAATTTGCCAAACTAAAGGTAGACACCTTCATTTTTTATCTGAATGGAAAGTGTGTGATCAAATACGATTGGTCTCGCCATCAGCTTGATCACTATTCCAGCCGGGCGTGGTTCTCAAAACACATTAGTGAGCTTGAGAAACGGAGCAGTGTATGATCAACTTCCGGTTAAGTTAGTTGTCAACGCACAACTCTCTTATTTAAAGATCAGTGATGAATGTCCACTGATTCTTTTAAACAGTGGTCAAAATTAGACATTTTAGTGAGCGAGGCAATGCGCATATGGCAGCATATGGCGTACATTTGCGGACAAAAATAATTGAAAATAAAAGACAATTTGAAGTTCAAAAATTAGACTATCCATGTCGAAATCTCGTCATATGAATTTGAAATCGCAATGAACGCAATCGAAATAGCATCATTCGAACTTGAAGTTACTTTGAACAAGTTGAAACTATAAAGGGAAAACTCGACATCGCGGATGTTGAAGTTCAAATCACCATTCCAACTAACATGCAAATTACATGATTTGAACTTCAATTCACCTTCTTCACTCTAATAAGCCCCTTCATCGCGTCAACAATGCAACCATAATCTTCCACAAAATTCCAAATGAAACCTTTGATTTGAACTTAAAGTCACGTCACATATTCGAATTCGAAAAACCAAAATTTCAATTCGAAAGAAGGCGGAAGTAAAAATACACAGAGGTTCATTAAATCGAGGTTCCACTGTAGTTACGTATATTGTATTCAAATGCAGAGTACTGTTGTGAAACACAAGAACTGGATGGCGGCCAATCCGGTGGAGTCTTCGCCTCCTACATCAGATTGTCAGGATTAGTTGTTCTATAAATGGTTTACAGCCTTTTAGTTTTGATTTGTTGAACTTAACTCTCTCAGGACAAAGAATAGTCATCAGATGTTCACGGCCTCCATTTTTATAGCATGCAGTTATCAAACGAACGCGCCAACTCACTAAACGCGAATATCAATGCAGACCCCAAATGGTGGGTTAATACTCATCAGTACATACTCCAAAATCATGACGTTGACACATTATGATTCATACACAAATTTATTCTCTACAAAGGAAAGAAAGAGTCGAATTGACTGTCAATACTGATTAGGGTTAAGCACTGATCAATACTGATTATGGTAAAGCCCTGAGAATAGCGCTTAGGGTTAAGTACTGACTCTAAAAACGGTTAGCTTCTATTTAGGGTTAAGGTTGATGCTATATACTTGCAACTCAAACCACTTCTTCCCAAGAAGTCCTTGGTAGTCTAGTGGTTTGGGTGGTCAGGAGCCTATCACCGTGAAAATCACCCCACGCGAAAAAGGCGAGACGCGTGAGGTGATTTTCACGCGCGTTTCGCGTTTCGCTACTATCCCTGAGGAAAAAGGGGGACTACACGTAGTCTACCACGGGATTGGCCGCCACCTTTCTTGTGTTTCACAACAGTACTCTGCATCTAAAAACAATATACGTAAATATCATAAGTTCACAAGTAGTTTTTGAACTTTTGTTCTCGTGCCATTCCGAAATTTTTTCCCCAAACTATTAATTGTACAGACCTAGACTTTCACGAACATTTCATCAAGCAGAAATTTCATGTAGGAAAAGGGAAATGTCTTGTAAAAGCCACTGAGAGGGAAATGTCAGTTTGGAGCATAGAGATGAGTGCTAACCGGAAAGGTGAGGCGAGGAATCATTCGCGCACCTCCTTACACCCAAATCTTCGGATGTAAGTTGAGAGGATGTAAAACCAAAAAGTTTCTCCTTGTATATTATTCAACTTTTTGGCGCTTTCCATTCACTGTCAGTGCACTTGATAGTGATTGGTTACAACATGAGATCATTATATGTTCTATAGTTCATTTGGCTTTTGACCCTAATACAAACAATTGGTAACATAGTGGCTTGGATGTTACTAGAAAACAGCAAGCGAAAGGAGAATGACCCCTCTCAGGCTCACCTCGCTTGTCACTCGAAATAGAGAGTTAGTCTGCTGGCTGAAGGGTGCTCGAATTTCCCTTTTCCTTTTGCTAGCGTTTGACTAAAATAAATATTTACATGAATTTTTTCTATTCATGAGTTTTCATTAATAACCAGTTTGTTATTAATATTAATTATTAAACAGGTTTGGAGTTTTAAAAACGTTGTCATCTTAAACCATGGGAAGCAACAAGCAGTTCAAAGCCATTCAAAATGATGTCTGCGCATATGTCGTATTTGTTATGCTGCCTACTGTATTTTCTATGGCATAGTATAAAATAGTTACGCAACGCTAAAAATTTGCGTGTTTGTCAAGACACTCAAGACAGAAAGAGTGAATACATGGCAAAGTCTTGGGATTATTGACTGTCTCCAAACACAGTGGGCATTCAGCTTCCTTCTTAAGAACTGTAAAGAGCTGTTGAATATCCATGGTGAATCTAGAGCTGCAAGCGATGGCTCCGTGAGATCATGATTATGGGTGCGGTTTGCTAAGCTGTGTAACAAAATAGGACTCAATGTTTTTTATTGTAATTGAAAAGCTGACATGAAGCGAAAGCGAAACACAATGAACAAAAAAAAAATAAGGATATGAAGTCAATTGGTAAACTGAAGAGTAAAAAGAAAAAAAACAGAACTGCTGAATTTAGGACTTGCAGTCAGTCGATGACACAGGCTTCCCAACCTCGAGTTCACATCAGTAACTGATGAAATGTTTATACGAAAAAAAAAACGGTAATGAATTATAAGGCGTTTATGGCAATTATTCGATAGAGCCGGCGAATCAAACACGGTTCCCGTGTGAAAGAAGCGCGAAAGTTGGGGAGACAGTAGCTCTACCACCATCTTAAAAGCAACCGCCCCCAACTTTCTTCACTTTGGTTCATATGTGCAGAAAAAGTGACCTCGCCAGGAGCCCATAACCATGGAGTTAGCTAATTTCAAGCGACTGCTCGCGTCATGTCGTTTTCACAGATCAGTTTATTTTTTGGATTTATTTTCTGGCACGATCTTAGAAAATCGTCAACGTCCAAAAATCAGTTAGTAAAACTTACAGAACTTAAAATTTTGCCGTGTTAATGACGTTTAGCGGTCTCTCCCTTTCATATGCGTCAAGACTACGTGACCAAGAAACGACGGGCCCTGGGGACGAAGATGCTAGCTGCCGGCCTGTTCAGTGTAGCGGGCTTCTGACGTCTGCGTGCATGCTACCTTTTTTCTCTACCCTCGCCCTAACCGTGCTTGCCCTGGTCCAGGGAAACTCTTGCCACGCAGCCAATTTGCCAAACTAAAGGTAGACACCTTCATTTTTTATCTGAATGGAAAGTGTGTGATCAAATACGATTGGTCTCGCCATCAGCTTGATCACTATTCCAGCCGGGCGTGGTTCTCAAAACACATTAGTGAGCTTGAGAAACGGAGCGGTGTATGATCAACTTCCGGTTAAGTTAGTTGTCAACGCACAACTCTCTTATTTAAAGATCAGTGATGAATGTCCACTGATTCTTTTAAACAGTGGTCAAAATTAGACATTTTAGTGAGCGAGGCAATGCGCATATGGCAGCATATGGCGTACATTTGCGGACAAAAATAATTGAAAATAAAAGACAATTTGAAGTTCAAAAATTAGACTATCCATGTCGAAATCTCGTCATATGAATTTGAAATCGCAATGAACGCAATCGAAATAGCATCATTCGAACTTGAAGTTACTTTGAACAAGTTGAAACTATAAAGGGAAAACTCGACATCGCGGATGTTGAAGTTCAAATCACCATTCCAACTAACATGCAAATTACATGATTTGAACTTCAATTCACCTTCTTCACTCTAATAAGCCCCTTCATCGCGTCAACAATGCAACCATAATCTTCCACAAAATTCCAAATGAAACCTTTGATTTGAACTTAAAGTCACGTCACATATTCGAATTCGAAAAACCAAAATTTCAATTCGAAAGAAGGCGGAAGTAAAAATACACAGAGGTTCATTAAATCGAGGTTCCACTGTAGTTACGTATATTGTATTCAAATGCAGAGTACTGTTGTGAAACACAAGAACTGGATGGCGGCCAATCCGGTGGAGTCTTCGCCTCCTACATCAGATTGTCAGGATTAGTTGTTCTATAAATGGTTTACAGCCTTTTAGTTTTGATTTGTTGAACTTAACTCTCTCAGGACAAAGAATAGTCATCAGATGTTCACGGCCTCCATTTTTATAGCATGCAGTTATCAAACGAACGCGCCAACTCACTAAACGCGAATATCAATGCAGACCCCAAATGGTGGGTTAATACTCATCAGTACATACTCCAAAATCATGACGTTGACACATTATGATTCATACACAAATTTATTCTCTACAAAGGAAAGAAAGAGTCGAATTGACTGTCAATACTGATTAGGGTTAAGCACTGATCAATACTGATTATGGTAAAGCCCTGAGAATAGCGCTTAGGGTTAAGTACTGACTCTAAAAACGGTTAGCTTCTATTTAGGGTTAAGGTTGATGCTATATACTTGCAACTCAAACCACTTCTTCCCAAGAAGTCCTTGGTAGTCTAGTGGTTTGGGTGGTCAGGAGCCTATCACCGTGAAAATCACCCCACGCGAAAAAGGCGAGACGCGTGAGGTGATTTTCACGCGCGTTTCGCGTTTCGCTACCATCCCTGAGGAAAAAGGGGGACTACACGTAGTCTACCACGGGATTGGCCGCCACCTTTCTTGTGTTTCACAACAGTACTCTGCATCTAAAAACAATATACGTAAATATCATAAGTTCACAAGTAGTTTTTGAACTTTTGTTCTCGTGCCATTCCGAAATTTTTTCCCCAAACTATTAATTGTACAGACCTAGACTTTCACGAACATTTCATCAAGCAGAAATTTCATGTAGGAAAAGGGAAATGTCTTGTAAAAGCCACTGAGAGGGAAATGTCAGTTTGGAGCATAGAGATGAGTGCTAACCGGAAAGGTGAGGCGAGGAATCATTCGCGCACCTCCTTACACCCAAATCTTCGGATGTAAGTGGAGAGGATGTAAAACCAAAAAGTTTCTCCTTGTATATTATTCAACTTTTTGGCGCTTTCCATTCACTGTCAGTGCACTTGATAGTGATTGGTTACAACATGAGATCATTATATGTTCTATAGTTCATTTGGCTTTTGACCCTAATACAAACAATTGGTAACATAGTGGCTTGGATGTTACTAGAAAACAGCAAGCGAAAGGAGAATGACCCCTCGCAGGCTCACCTTGCTTGTCACTCGAAATAGAGAGTTAGTCTGCTGGCTGAAGGGTGCTCGAATTTCCCTTTTCCTTTTGCTAGCGTTTGACTAAAATAAATATTTACATGAATTTTTTCTATTCATGAGTTTTCATTAATAACCAGTTTGTTATTAATATTAATTATTAAACAGGTTTGGAGTTTTAAAAACGTTGTCATCTTAAACCATGGGAAGCAACAAGCAGTTCAAAGCCATTCAAAATGATGTCTGCGCATATGTCGTATTTGTTATGCTGCCTACTGTATTTTCTATGGCATAGTATAAAATAGTTACGCAACGCTTTCTAAAGGCTCGTGTGCATACCGAGAAAACAGAAGAGACTCCTGGGATATTCCATGGTATACCACTCAAAAGCGTTCCATAACTAATATGTACATATGTAAGCTCAGTTCAGTTCTTTTAACGTTCAGCAGCTTAGAGTGTTAACAATAATCAGTGCTTAAAAAAAGAGTTAATCCTGGAGTTATTCAATTTCCGCACTGTGCTAGTTGAAAACATAAATACAGTGTTTGTTTTTATCTGTAACAAACAAATGTCCAGTATTAGACACGGCACAACCAACAAGATGACTATTATGATCAAAACAACTCCCGGCTACCTTAGAGACATATTTTCCTTCTAGTGTGAATAGTTTCAGTCTCCTGCTCCCCGCATCACAAACGATCAAACGGTTAAACTTGTCAATAGCGAGACCAGTAGGACACCTTAACTGCCCGTTACCAGATCGCTCGCTGCCAATATCATAAAGATACTCCCCTGTGTTGTTAAATACCATGACACGGACAGCGTGACAGTAAGAAACAAAGAATTTCTTCTGGTGATAAAGAACACACCATGGTCTCTCGTCACAACCAGGAGCACTGAACGACTGAAGTAAATTTTTCCCATCAGGGCTGAGAACTTTAATTGTTTTGTCGTCCCAGTCACATGTGATTATGCGACCCTCACACCCAATAGATATGTACCACGGTATCTTTGCATGTTCATCGCTGATGTATCGGATAAACCGACCATCTTCAGTATACAAAGATAATTTATTGAAGTCACCAGGGCTACGGACAAGGAGGTCACCAGACTCGGTAAAAGCTACCGAAGTAGAAACAATATCCCGTGCAATCTCTCTCAGGAAATTTCCATCAAAGCTAAACATCTGAATTCTCTTATTTTCATAATCAGTAACAGCAAGTGTTCTCCTCTTATCGCCTACAGAAATACCCCAAGGCTTCTTAAACTGTCCTTGCTCTTTTCCTTTTGATCCAAACTGAAATCCAAATTGATACTGATGCGAACTGATCACCTGTACAAGCCAGGGACTACCAGTCAGCGGCTGTCCATTAACTTGGATCTCTACCCCATGTTGTCCAACACACTGTGGTGTGTATGTCACTGTGTACTTGCCGTCTTTGGTGTCTTTTATCTCTGTTTCCAGTTGATCATCTGTTGGAGTTATAATGTTGACTTTTACTTGATCATCTTCATGGTAACACTGCTTTCCACCTGAATCTCTAGTTACAATGATGAAATTTGCCACCGTTTTTTCTCTTACAAGTTCTTGATTGTCCACTTCCGCTAAGGAAAGTAAGGGATCTGTATTACTAACCACAATTCGATCAAAACCCGGATTCAGTTGATTTTTGATAATGTAATTCACGTGGGGTGGTTTATAAATGTCAGGCTTTGTTACATTCAAAAGTTCTTCACAGCGTCCAACAATGATCTGATTTGTTTGAAGAATCTCGGCACTGACGTTTCTTTCCAGAGCACTTTCACTTCGTTCAAGGCAACTTTTTAGTTGAGTAAGAATGAACTCAAAATTTTCTATTTGCGTTGCGTGATGTTTTTGTTGCGCTTCATAGATTTCAGCAAATTTGGCTTCCATGACCCTCTCATGTTCCCGCAATTCATGGATACGTTCCTCCACGGTATCTGTCATCTTCTTTTCCGCCGACAAAATCTCATTTTTAGTTTTGTCCATTAGCTCGGTTTGTTTCCTTATTTTGTTCTCGTAAATAACAGTTTCCGCTTTCACTTTCTCTACAGCGTCCTTCATTTGCATTTTCTGTACTCGTGCGGCATTCTGAGTGTCTGTTATGGTGTGTCGATTATGGCTTACTATACAGCATTTCTGGCAAATAAGAACTTTGCATTCTTCACAATAAAATTCCAAGGGCTGATTTTCGTGGTATTGCTGTGAACACATGGCGGGTCTGTGGATCAGCTCTTGAACATCTTGCACATTTAATTTGTCTATCACAACATTGCGATGACCTCTTGTGGTCTTCAGTCGCTGATGAGCTTCAAAACAAACAGTGCAGAGGAATATTTGGCAGACGAAACAGTAAGAGGAAGCGGTGTTGTTCTCATCACAACTGCTGCATTTCTGGGCCTGTGCGCCGCCATCTTTTAGAGCGAGAACATCTACCAGTCGGTTGAGATGATAAGATGTGGGAAGGTTCTTGAACGAGTCTCCTTCAGGAATTTGAAAAGATGTCTGACAAACCGGACATTTGATCGTCGCTTGTAGTTGTCTTCTTGCAAAAATTGCGTGTTTGTCAAGGCACTCGAGGCAGAATGAGTGAATACATGGCAAAGTCTTGGGATTGTTCACTGTATCCAAACACAGTGGGCATTCAGTTTCTTTCTTAAGATTGGCGAAAATCTGTTGAACATCCATAATGTATTTAAACAAGAAGCCGCTTACAGCAGCATTCAGTCTCGCTTGTTTGAAGATTAGATCAAGAAATGAGGAGGCGATTAATTCTACACGAAACGAAACAGAATAACCGCTAAATGTTTTTTACTTCCTACTTTATCGACGTCGATACTTTTTACTTGTTTCTGAATTGACTTAGTACGCGTGTTAGCGACGACCGTAAATACGTCTGCGGTCGCAGGCTATACGCGTTTAGTAAAATCCAACTAGTGGTCTATTATCAATGCTGCGTTCTGATTGGTTGAGTTACTACTAGGCTTTTAATAGCGGAGCTCCACCCGCGCGCGAAGCGCGCGCGTGGACGGAGCCCCATAGCTAAGGAAATGTGGTAATATACCCATCCGAGAAAATTTGGCAATCACGTGACCAATGTTTACTCTCACACTTTCTAGCTAGTTTGGGAGCCCAAGAGAAAACTAATTGCACATCAATGTTGTGGTCAACTGACAGCTGTCAAAACAGGATATCCGCTGACCAGTTTCACCTGACCGTACCTCGGGCTCAAATGTCGACCCATCGAGGTCGAGTACTTTTTTCAAGTTGTCCGCTGACAAATTACCAGTTTCAAATGATCGCGGGCTCAAGTCTATTTTTTCCAATGGTTCATATGAAATATGTTGTGTTTATGTCACTATGGCCCCTCACTGTCAAGATTTTGATTTCAAACTGACCTCGGACGCGAAAACTCAGCCAGCCTTTTAAAAAGCAGGCGGAGAAGACCTTTCTTACCATGGTCACGCGTTGGTGACGCTCTACGTCCAATTTTTGTACTCTGGTTGGTCAAAATTTGACAGGTGAGTTTATGCAGCGTGTTGAAAGTTGTTTACTTTGACAGCTGAAGCTGACAGAGTTTTATGTCAACTTGTGATGTTTTTAACTGTCTTTTTCCACTGGATGTACAAAATGAAATACAGCTACTATCAAGAGTCTTCTGTTATCCATGGCTGGTTTGTTTATTGGGTTTTTGGTTGAGAAATGCGTCGCTTGTCAAAATTGGGTATTCCGATTTCGGATGGCACCGTTTTCGTTTTTCACCTTGCTTAATGCGTAAGAGGGTTTAAAATTCTCAAGCAACTGTGGCCTTCCTTGATATCTTTCAGGAAGTGAATCTCGAATGGTAAGCCTGAGTAATTATTGCATTTGATGTTTGTTTTTGTAATATCTAATTTCATGAAGTCGAGCACAGTTTATGCGGCAAGTTTTTGCACGTTTGTAAGATTTGAGTCAATGATCTGACCTAGTATGAGGTTTGATCTAAGCTTACAGAACTTTAAAAGGCCTTCAGATATATTTTCTCACGGCAAATAGAAAGAAAACGTTCCGAAGAATATTTAGTTATGAATTTGGCTGTAGAAAGAAAACTTTGAGCGATTTTCTTGCTTCGAGGAGTTCATTTTTAAAAAAGGCAAACACCGGGAGTCCGGCTGCAAGTAAGACAAAATAAACTTAAGCTTAAGCTTTAAGCTTAAAGACTCAGGATTTTTAGAGACTTTTTAATACTTGTCTTCGTGAATGAAAATTGTTGTCTCTGTAAATGTTTCACCGAATTATATTTCTTTTCTTGATTGTTAGTAGTCTCTCTTGCAATTTTAATCGCTTGTCCGCGGCGTTTGTTTTCATCGTTCATGAACATCGCTTGAAGGAGTACTTAAAAATGTCGCGCGTATCAAACGCTTTATAAGATTACACATCGTTATAACTGAAACCATTAAATAACAAAAAAATAGTGATAATAAATTCGGGATTATGTTGAAGCGTATCTCTGTTAAAGTTCATTCAAACACTCGACCACACACTGACAGCTCGCACTAGAAATGAGAACCGGCTGGCCGTATGGGTGATTTTGAAAATTTTTTGAACGATTTCGCTAAAAGCCCACGATTGATCGTCCTAAACATTGACTGAGTGCAATTTGTCTTGAAAAATTGTGAGATACCGTATTCTGTCCGAGGTCTGTATGATAAATAGTACTGTTTCACCTCAGATGTGATGTATAAAAAGTATAAAAGGTTGGTTTACACACCCTCAGATTTGTTGGCAAGAATTTGTAAAGTAAACCTGTCGAACGCAAAAAAATTCGGCCTGATTTGTTTTCCAAGAATTTGTTTTCGAGGCCTAATCTACTGTGATAAAGAGCCATTATGGCTCTTGAATGTGATCGAAAATGTTTGCTGTTTTTTGGGTGTACATATATTTAGGCTATCAACTCGATGTAAGATGTTTCACTCTAAAATAACTTATCCTTTCCCTCAAAAGTCACATGAATGTTCCCTTAAGTTAACTGATTTATGGATTACAAATTTATTGTTTGATTTAAAATATAGATTTATTAATGGGAGCTCCGCTTTTAGCCCTGGCTAAATCTATATATTAGCGAAATGCGCCGGCTTTGAAAACCAAAAATAATGGCGGCTAAATCGCGTTTTGCTAGCTAAAGCAACTAGTTGGATTTTACTAAAGCAATTATCCCTCTCGTACTCATGGCCTCTGAGTCAATAGCCCATGAGGCCTTCAGAGTCCATGCGGGCTCGCGGAATAATTGTTAAGTATAACTACACGAGAATTCAAAGGCCTCGATTCAGAGAAATAACATCATTGCCAGATAACGAAAGAGTGATTTACATGGCACGTCTTTTCAATCATCGCCCAAAATATATCGCATGCTCATCCCAAGACTTATTTGCATACAGTGAAAGCTTACAACACCCGACTATCGCAATTTTGCTAATTCAGATTCTGAATTATTTTCGACCATTCAGTAATGTTCACTTGCTCCAAAGTAAAGAAGGCTTTCAAGCGATAGAATTCGTAAACCGACACGTTTCCGAAAAGCTCTAGCTAAATTTAATCTTTCGTAAGCTTTCTTCGCAAAATATGCGTGGCTTCCATCACGTAACTATTCTTAGGTCCCAGTTTCCACGGTGTCCGCAAGGAACGCCTGGCACAATGACCCCCCATTTCTGACCCAAAAATGACAAAAATGCCCGGGAGGTACTTTCAGAAAAATTGGGTGGGGATGTGCGGCACGCTTCCTGAAACCCTTACCCTATTTCAGACCAAAATCTGTGATTTGCCCTACCCTATTTCAGACCTGATCAAAAATTTGATACCCTACTTCAGACCTGAAACCCTGGAGCCCGGCGCGTGACCGGAGCACTTGACAAGCTGTTACAGCACGTACACCGTAAACATTAAAAGGGAAATGGTCTTATCGCCAAATGATGAAGAAGTAGCTAATTCTTCTAAAAAACAAACCCAATTCAAGACTAGAGAGCACAAACCATACCCTATTTCAGACCAAAACGGCTGAAAAAAACATACCC